TTGAGTTCATAACCTCATCGTGCTCGGCTACAGAGGTATCATCCATCTTCTTGAGCCTCTTAAAGCGCTGGATTGAAACAGCAGAAAAACCAAATGACGAGATCAAAATTGATCTGCATCCTAAGGATGAAAAGGCAGATTCACCTCTGCAAAATCTTTTCGAGGTCACTATTCTACAAAAGCTGATGGACAAGGCTCCAGAAAAGCTCGTGAGCCAGTTTGATCAGCTGCTAGAGTTGGTATGCGAAGTTCTTGCTGCAGATACTAAGTCAAAGTTAGCAGATGACTTACTCGCTGTGGTACTAAGCTTACTGAATCTGGTCATCACTGCGCCGACATTCCAGAAATCCCACATTAAACCAGAAGAGCTCAAAATTGTAGAGAATTCACTGGAACGATTGAGCAATGAAGACAGGCCACAATTGTCACCTACAGCAAGGAACCTAGCGCTGCTTCTCAAGTACCGAGACGAAATGGTGCAGGATGATGTCTCTGCCTCGGCCCCCAGCACCCGGCAGATTGAAGATCAGAGGACATATAAACTGGCCATGGAATATGTCACCGGGGGCGACGACAATCCAGCACCCATTGTGTCTGAAGGGTTGAACCTGCTTTCTGGTCTGATACTTAAAGACAGCCCAATCCTCGACATCCCTGCAGTTGCCGTGCTTTTGTCGACCCTACTCGAGAACAACGACGACTACATCAACCTTCGAGTCATCAAAGTTTATACTCAGCTGGCCAACAAACATCCTAAATCGGCAGTTCAAGAGCTTCTAGACCACTACTTAGACCCACAGGAAAAGTCTACGACGGATGTTCGGCTGCGGTTTGGAGAAGCTTTATTGCAAGTGATCCAGCGACTAGGGGAAACCTTTATCGGTGATCTTGCACGTCAAGTTAGCGAGACCTTGCTGTCTATCGCTGGACGTCGTGGATATCGAGCCAAAACCATGGCTAAACAAGCTCGTGATGAGAAGCTCAGAAAACTGAAGAAGAAAAAGGAGGATGAGGACGATGACATGGACTTGGATGAAGAAGAAGTGACAGAAGAAGAGAGGGCTAGGAATGACATTTTGGCTCAAATCCTTCATGGATGGGAAAGTAAAAGAGGCGCAGAAGATGTTCGGATACGAACTTCTGCCTTGTCAATCTTTGGCGCTGTTATTGAAACGAACATAGGAGGGATTGGGCCAACGCTCGTATCTGGTAGCGTTGACCTCTGCATCAATATCCTAGCAATGGAACGAGAGATGGAGACAGCAATTCTACGAAGAGCTGCCATCCTGAACGTGTTAAGTTTTGTGAGGGCTCTCGACGCTGCTAAGGAGTCTGGTAGGAAACTTGGCTTTGGTCTGACTGACGAGAGTCGAGAGGATATTGTGAGGACACTGCAATATGTGGCTCAAACGGACAACGATGGACTGGTCCAACAGCATGCAAAGGACGTGGTTGAAAGCCTCGAGAACTGGCAAATGGCAAGCATCCTCCCGCTGCAAGAGTCAACAAGCAGTCCAGGACTGATGCGACTGGCGGGCCTCCATATCAACCCCAGCGGAACTTTGGTGGACGCAGCTGGGAAGCCTCGGCCACGAATTGAGGAGGTGGAATGAAGGACGGGATGAATGGGTGCGCCCAAGAGATCGAGGGTATATCCAGGGCACTCCCACGCTACCCGAGTACGGTAAATGATTGGCAATCTCGGTGTCTACCTGATCAGAAATCACAACAGGGCGCAGCGCATTTGAGTTGTGGATAGTGACACCATGTAGGATTTGAGGTTCCCTGGCGATGCAGCCAACTGCAGCTGACGGCAGGGCTAGAATTGACATGGCTTAAATTTACTCGTCGCGAGCCTCATGCTTGATCATATGTGACTGTACTCCGTGCCTTGAAGATGAGATGAGATTCGCAGTCAGCATATCCCGGCAATCTATTTCGCATGTATCAAGCATAAGTTGGGACTTTGGTCAACAGTAGAACCGCCCGCCAAGGCCAAGTCTGCCTATGAGGCATGAGTGGTTACCGAGACGAGACAATATGAGATGAGCGATTGCGCGGCTTGAATGTTTAAAATGAGCCGAATAATAAGTATTCTCGTAAAAATCTAGAAAAGGAGGAAAAAAGTGTTGCTAGAATTTTAAACCCTTGCTTGGGATGTTTTTGATATATGAAGACGACGACGATGACAAGCCGTTGGAACCGCGGAACTTGGAAGAGGTAATTTACGAGTGGGGAAACAAAGTTGGCAACTTGTTGTTCTGCGACGAGACGAGACAGGGACCAAGGGGGTTTGATGAAACGACAGGGATGGTATCGGGGGACGGGTTGACCGGAGGCGGCTGAGAAGTGAAACATATACGAAGGGACGTGGCTTTTCTGAAGTCTTCTACGGAGCATGAGACATATTCCTCGTAAAATATGTGCAACTTGGGAATCTTGATCTACCTATAGATGATGACTGATGTTGGAGATGGAGACTGAGAAGATGGAGACTACAATCTGTGGATCGGTACCTGCATATTGATGCAAAATTGCCTCATCCAAGCGAGCAAAACCTAGATCAACGCTTCCAAAGCCTGTCACATACCAGTAGAAAGCATAACAAGAATCTAATTACCAGATGGGGTAACCAACACCGTTAAGTGACCAGTCTGGCTGGCTGATTCTATTCCGGAGGATCGGCAATTGATGGTCATTTCCAGTCATGATCTACCCATGTGCCTCTCTGTACGACTCGACCAATCTTCTGTGCGAATCTACGATTATTATTAGAGGTTAGTGTAGGAACTGTAGTTCATTGACTGCCGTATGCCGATGAGGCTTAGCTACCAGTCTCAGAGACTCGGATCACTCGTCACAGCCGTGGTCTCTAATCAGAGAAGAACAGAAAAGGTCGGAAGTTGGGACCCAGGATCTGAGTCATTCTAGATTCGAGGAGATGCTTGGCAGGGAAGAAAAGAATCTTTTTTGGTGGAAGCCTGCATAAGAGAGTGGGCTTTGTCTGACTCTGCCGAATCGCGGTCAAGCATGCAAGGGACTTGTTTTGGGTCTTTTTTTCTCTTTCTTTCTTTCCAACGACTTCTCAGCTTGCCAGGGACAGTCTCGACATGTGAGAAAAATGTTTGACTTTTGGGTTCTAGGCTCTTGGTTTCCTTGACGATGGACCTCCTTGGAGTAGCAAGACAGCGCCAGGATGGCCAGGATATTGCTGCAAAGCCTCGGGAATCTTTGGGGTCCGGTTATGGCTTGAGTTTTAGTTGTCAGAGTTGCACTAATCCTGCGTGCCAGGTTTGTCGATCCCGTCGGACATTTCTAGTGGTCTAGACAGGCACGCACGGTGGCATATTGCAGGTTCTGGCGTTTAGTTACAGCGCACAAGGCTGAAATTACCTCGCTGACGAGCAGTACATACATAGGGGTAAATGTGCACAGCAGCAGCCACAGTCTCTAGGTAAATAAGCAGCCTCGCCTGATTTAAGCGCTGTTGTCTATGCTGTGCAACATGTGTACAGATAGAGAACTAACGTTAGTAGCTGGCGCTCCTCGAAACATTCATCACTTGACGATGATTGTGGCTATTTCTCATTCGCCGCCCTAGACCAAAATGTGGCGGGCGCCAGAACAACGAAATCTCGGGATGGCGGTGATTAAGAGTCTGGAGGTTTAATTGGCCCGGGTGGCGTCTCAGGTTCTGCACGGTACCTGCATAACGTGACGTGGTGGCGCTATTCGATCTGACTAAGGGAGAGAATAAAAGATGGACAATGCAGGAGAGTGAAACATAACCTTTTGTGTTATGTATCAGCCAGAGTCAAGAGTCAACATGTGTCTCAAGTAATTGTCGTCCAACACTATGGGAATACCCATGATGATGCTCAGATATAGCATGAACAATCATCAAAGCCCACCAAGGTTCAATTGAACTAGAATAATATCGCTAAATTACAGGGTGCTCGCTCACCAAAAAGCGCTTCCTTAGCCCCAAACCCCCCTGGTCAGACACCCCGTGGACCCTGGCCCGAGAAGCCTACCGCGCCCCTGAACCATTCCTTTTGAGGCAAGAGCTAGAACGCCCCACCGACATCTGAACCTCAACCTTCTCCAACGGTTGGTTGGTCTTGACTCTTCCATCATCTCCAATCAAATCACATCCATGTTCATCTCAACAACGTCAACGCCGCAGCAACCGACCAACCCGCCAAAGCAAGATGAAAGGATACGCTCATCACGAAAGGTTACTATGAATAAGCCCCTCTAGCTCAGGTGCATGGTCCTAGCCCTGGCACTGGCTCGTCGCCTAGCTAGTCTGTCGCTACTCCTATCGTTCAGCTATACGGTATGGTACGCATGTGTGGGATTGATCCTTCGCGATAATCACATCTCCTTCAGCTGCAGAGACCCGAAGATGGCTCACCAGTCGCTATAGGGAACGTGCCCGAGTGGGTACATCTCCCTCTCATTCTGACCAAGGTCCAAACTCGAGATGCAGACCCTGGCCCTCTCTTAATCCAAGGGGCCTCCTGGTGGACCACAACATCACCCATGCTCAAAGCATCTTGGCAGTCCGGCGTTTTGTGGTTGCAGCCTGCTCCCCTGCAAGAGACATTGAGCTAAAAAGAGGCGTTTCAGCCCAGTTGGTACTACGCCCCCGACTCTGGATTCTCTTAATATCTAACGCTTCCTGCCTCACCTCAGATCCGGCTTCCCAGTCTTGTCTATCACAACCACCACACTCGTTCAGTCTCTATCGTGACTTTCCATTCATTTCCGGCTTCTGCCATTACGATCCTTCCAGCATTACAGCAACCAGCGTTTCTCACCTTCCAACTCTATCCTTTCTTTTCGTGAAGCAAAACTGTGTCTTGCTCGCTGCCCGACTGTGGAATTGACTTCTACGGCCATTTGAATCGCATCGCAAACCGTTGTCATAGACAAATCTGAAGCTACCGCAAAACCAAACCACTTAACCAAATCACATCCAAATCACCTCCTTCAAAATGAAGTCCGTCGTCGCTTCCATCGGCATGCTTGCTGCCGTGGCCAACGCCTACAACTTCCCCCACCACGCCCACTACCGCCGCGACAACGGCACCGACACCCAGACCACTCTGACCGTCAAGACCACTGTCGTCGAGACCATCACCAGCTGCGCTCCTACCGTCACCAACTGCCCTGCTCGTGATCACACTGCCATTGCTCAGCTCCCCGAGTCCGACAAGGTCACCTACGTTGAGACTAACACCGTTATCCTCACTGAGGTTGTCTGCCCCGTCGCTGACGCCAGCTCTATCTACACCTCCGTCCTTCACGATGCTGAGACCGGTGGTGTTACTGGCAAGACCCTTACTGCTCCTTACACCGCTTCCGTCCCCATGACCACTGGCGGTGCTTATCCTCCCCCTAAGGAGGGCGACAAGACCGTCGTTTCCGACTACACCACTGAGCAGGTTGTCACTCTTACCCAGGGTGACGAGACCATCACTACCACCATCCACAAGACTCTCCAGACCACCATCACCGTCCCTGCTGGCCCTCAGGTCACCGATGACGGCTCCAAGGGTAACGGCACCCCTGAGGATGACACCACCACTACCACCACCAAGACCAAGACTGGCACCGTCACCAAGACCATTGAGCGCGTCGGTGAGACCAAACCCGCTTCCGGCGGTGACAACGGCTACAGCACCGGCAAGAGCGAGGAGGAGGGCTCCAAGGGCACTGATAACGGCTCCGGCAACGGATCCAACAACGGTGGCTCCGACTCCGGCAATGGTAACGGCGAGTGTGTTCCCGAGACCGTCACTGTCACCGCCCCTGCTTCTACTGTCTATGTCACTGTTGTCCCCGAGGCCAGCAAGACCGGCAGCTCTGATGATGCTACCGTCACCGACAAGGCTGTTCATGGTGATGACTCCGAGGATGATGACTCAGAGGACGACGATGACGAGGATGAGTTCTGCGACACCACTACTACCCTCGAGGCTACTGTCACCGTTGTCCCTTACCCCGTCAACAACACTGCCACTGGTGGCTACGCTAAGCCCACTGGCTTTTCTCGCCGTCTCCGATAGACGTCTTGACAACTCATGTATATGAAGTCTCATCTGTACATTACTCACCATTTGGTCACTTCTTGGTTAGGCATCTAGTGCAAGGGGGAACATCTTTGTATAGGTCAACTGCTCTCCTGGATGTATGACAATTTACTTTTTTTTTGCTGCTTCTTTCTTCAAAATCAATTCAATGAGAATCATGAACTTTCGTCTTATCTGGTCCATTCAACAAATATCCTCTCGGGTTACTTGGTCTTGTTCCCTTTTGACTGTAGCACGGCTGGGGTTGGTATATGGAAGCGCTTGTAGATAGATAGACTTGGGTTATGCTTATCAGGAATGACGGTTCCATAGACCGCTTCTTGTCTCATTTGAGTCTTATACACATACACATCTTGCCTTTTATACCACATATCCCTCCTGCTGCAGATGTAGTTGTGTAGATATGAGACAGCATAAGCAATAAATATGAACGCGCAATGCCCTTCGACGGCTTTGAAAAACTTCATTTCTGGATATTATCTGTAGCTGCACCCTGGCGCTCAGCTGGGGCCATGCGTTTATGCAAACTCATCCAAACCGTAATCCCAACGCCTCGCTCATCCATCCATGCATAGCCCAAGTAGCTTATTTCATCATCTCATATCTTACACAGAGCAATTATCCAAGGACAACCTGCTCGTAAGTTACTTCATCTAGGTACCGCTGCAACACATCCTGTAAAGCAGCTTTTGTCCGACTCAATTGTGGTGTGAGCCCATCAGCCTGTTGGAGGTTACCACGGATGCTTTCGACGTGATCTGCTAGTTGCAGGGCTATAGGCTCAAGAGGTGTATTGACAATGTCCTGCTTTTGTGAGTTCTCCGGATGTAAGCTAATGCCATGGAACAAACTTACCTTGAGACTTTCCTGATCTTTGGTGTCAGTAACAAAAGTTGTATCTTGATCCTTGCTGGCTGGCCTTGATGTCGGTGCGAGACCATGAGCTTTTCGGAACAAATCCTTCCGCTCTCTTGTTTGTGCCCTCGCATTTGCCTCCAAGTTCCTCAGTTTTTCATAATCTCTCTCAAGCTCTCTCTCCATCCTCTCCTTCTCCGCCTTCAATAGCTCAACTGCATGCATCCCAGGCACAAGCTGCCTCTCCAACGCCGCCTTCCCATCGAGCACCGCCTCAAAATCAAGCTCCAGGGCACGACCCCCATCAGCATCCAGGCGCTGTTTTGTAGTCTTTGATGATGGATTCCCAGGGGGGAAGGGTAGACCACGGGCGAGTTTACGTTCCATGCGGCGGTAGACGAGATGTAATGCCGCAGAGGCATGGGTGCGTCGGTTGTTCGTCGGGGCCATGCGTTGCAGGATAGGTTGTTGGGCGAGTTTGAGGATGGATTTAGTAGTGGGAAGTGATGCGCCCGATAGACCGGACCAGTCTGCCGCAACTTTGGAGGAGCGAATTGTGCGTTTAAAGGAAGCAATGTGGATGTATGGCTTTGGCGGAGAGGCGAGAGATTCGTCTGAGTCAGAGGGTGCATCGTCTTTCTCCTTGCCACGACGTTTCTTCTTATTCGTCTCTTGTGGCTCTTCTTGTGGTTCATCCGCGGTCTCAGCCGATGGCCTTCCCCCTTTTGGGCGACCACGCTTCTTGGGAGCATCTTCGGGTTGTTCATCTTCTGCATTTTCCTGTGATACACGATCCTTCTTCTTTTTAGACCTTTCGGCTTTGCTGCCCCTGTTATTGGCATCTTCGCCAAGATCGCGCAAAGAATCCCGTGGGCTTCGTCGTGGTTGCTCCTCTTGTTCAGATACAGGTTCAGGCTCGGGCTCTTTGGTTTCAAGACGCTGTCTCTTTCGGGGTGCTGGTGCTGGTGCTTGTTCTGCTTCTGGTTCTTCTGGCTCCGGCTCAGGTTGTTGAGCTGCCTTGCGGCCCTTTTTTCGCGGTTGGGGCTGCTCCTCCGGCTCTTCAATCTGTGTCTCCTTCGACTTCTTCTTTCGTTTTTGCTTTCCAGCATCTTCTGTTTCCTGCTCAGGCTCCTCATCCTGATTCTTTTCGAGAGATGGGCGTCCGCGCTTCCTCTTTGGTTGGACCGCCTCTTCTACCGTTTCTGGATCAGCTTCTTGAGCATCCTGATTCTTCTCTAGTGAAGGGCGACCACGTTTTCGTTTCGGTTGCGGTGCATTTTCTGTCGACTTTTCCGCATTCCTATCTTCCAGTGAAGGTCGACCACGCTTCTTTTTGGGTTTCTCCGCCTGCGCTACCTCTTCCTCGGGCGCATCTTCTTGCGCTTTTTTCTTTGGTCGTCCTCGTTGTTTCGGACGCGCAGCTTCTTCGATATCGGCTTCATACTCGTCTGGTCGATCTTGCGACGCGCTGGGGGCTTGTTTGGACGCGTTTGCAGGCCTACCGCGCTTGCGCCCTTGCGGTTTTGGATCTAGAGCCTATCAAAAGGAGTGCATGTTAATCGCAATGGCCGTACGAGTGACAGCCTGGTGCTCTTTTACTTACCATGGTGTTTGTTGTGCAAGGAAATGGTTTGTTTTGTTGACTTAAATTACGGGCCAATGGATTGATGATTTGAGTTTCAGCGGCTCCGGGCGCTGGGACGGGGAAGCGGGGCAGCCCGTGTCTCCGCTCAGATCCGGGATGGATGGAAACGGTTGATGGATGTCATTCATTCTACGCCTCAGTCATGATCCAAATTTAGAGTTACACTATAGCGATATCGTGTGCTCTAGACAGTTTCAGTCTTTATCATTGTGTGTGTTTTACAGCACGGTGTATCTGACCGGTTTGCTCATACCATTCTGTCTGTTGAACATTCACGCCACTCACTCCGCATCATCAGACTGAAAGACAGTTGGATCAACACTCGCAGCACGAGCCACACAAATGACACGATGCTCATCTTGACTAGACTCATCGACTTCAGCTAGAAATGCCAAAACGATAAGCGAAAGTTTAGCCCGTTTGTGCGATGCAGCTCCCCCAATGTTACACGATGATGCCATCAGACGTGTGCCCTCGCGATAGGCACGCGCGACAAAAACCCGTTTTCGTCAGACTCTGCAGGACAGACGACTCAATTCCTCGCAGAAGCGGAATACGCAAATGCGTGATGACGATGATGGGCCGTTGAACAGCGTCTGCGTCTCGGTACCGAACAATGGGTATCATCAGTACCCTCATGATCCTTCAAGTACTGTCTGTACCTCGATTTCAAGCCTGTAACGTATCATGTGTTTTCTCTCTTTTGTTGTGCGTTGCTTTGCATCTCACCGAGTGTCTTATTCGTTTGATGTTTGACAACTCATGCATTGCATTACGAGGCCAGACAAGCCCTCGTCGAGGCTGAATGAATCAATCAAAGTCTGACCGTCTGGATATTACTGCATCTTTTATCGACAGACAAATAATTACCGCGCATAATAAGTGAGGTACTAACTTGAGTATGTAGCACAGTCTCCAGAATTTAAGAGTCATACCAACGTGTCAAAAGTCACAACAGTGGTTCCCATCGACTAACACAAACAATGCCCTTGTCGATTGCCTGTGGATGGAGAGAAAGACAAAGAGAGAGGGGGGAAAACTCACAACGACTGGACCCTACCTCGAGCATTGGTGCCCAAATCATGGATGTCGGTGATGCCCCCTCGTATGGATCTGATAAACTGGGTTGGTCCACGACGGCGCTTAGAAGAAGTCGTGTTTGGGCACTGAATTGAGTGATTATTTTGCTTTGCACTCGAGGTATCGAAATCTGTGGGATCCATTCGATCGTGCAAGGGTTCTTTTTAGATGTTTCCACTTGATCAAGGGTTTTTCCATTCAACTTCCATTTCAAGGTTGTTTTCTGTGCTGGCAGAGACCCGACGCTAGTGCAGGGCTGGGTTAGAATGGGCTCGGTGAGAGTTGACTCCCTGTTTTCACATGAATCTTTCAAGACGTAGACAGAGCGGGCCGTTCCATGTCTGAGGATTCGCATTGTATCACAGTCTGTAATGAGAGCCAAGACTGGCTCAGGTTGGGGTTATTGGCATTGATATAAAGGCAATGCCCAAGAGTAAAACAACAGATAACTAACCATCGGCATAGACTCCTCTATGCCAAGTCGAATATCCATTATTATACAAGTGTCGAGTCTCTTCTTGTTGATTTCACATTGATTACTTTTATTTATACATCCCATCCACTTTGGACCCCCATCTGGATAGGTACCTATTCAGTCAGTCAGCTCCAGTGTAAAGAAAAAAAAACGAGGTGACTGCATAAACCTGTATCAAGACAAGACCTGCCTGCGTGACAACGAAACCGTCCGATCAGTCTCGATCTAGGTAGACCTGCCAGCCCTCAATTCACCCGGAGCCTCTTTATCCAGGTCTGAGACAAGACCAAGTCTGTGGGACCAGAAAAGAGTCTTGGTTGAACCTCTTAGGCCTCATCCACTGAGACATTGACTATCTACGGCCCAACCTCCTCCTTTTTGTGGTGGTTTTACAGACCCGATCCGAACCCGGCCCCGGCCCCGGCAGTCCAAGTTGATCGCCCATCCACTCTCCTCCTCCGCACGAAGACGAAAAAGGCCGCTTCGCTCCTAAAGAGAGCCGAGTAACAGAAACTCTCTGCGCTAGACTAGATTCTTTGAACTAGAAGCGCGGCTGAGGCTCAGATGCAAGGACATTCCTTGTTGTTAGGCTTCTCTTATCTATCCACTGGCCTGGCCTGACTGATTGTCTTCTCTGCCTGTCTGTCTGTCATCCATCGTCATTTGATCAATGGCATCATCGTTGATCGGCCTCTAACTTTTTGACTTACAGTGCTGCTGCTGCTAAAGACTTGATCATCGCCGTACCATCCCGTACCAGCCTGGTACCATTACGGTAGTTACATACAGTGACCTACATAGCTCATCGTCTTTTCAATCTGTTGTGCATTTCACCAGTTCATCACCAAGGACCTTGGAGCCTATCAAAGATCCCGTCGTTTCTCTACAGTAAAGGTACCCCCTCCGTCCACTGACTCCAGTCGGTGCTCGCCATCCGCATCTCACTTGCATTGCATCTGAGGTGCTCTTTACTTTTTTTTATTTTTATCTTGCACCTTCCCCTCCTCTTTCTCACATTTTTTGTTTTCCTTCTTCTCTTTTCCCTCCTTTTCTTCCTTTTTTGTCATCTTCACTTGGATTCTCTCAAGTGAATGACAAAAGAGCTACAAACGGGATTGATAATCATCATCTTCAACCTTATTAATCTCGACGACGAGATTCTTCCTTCTCCGTACTGCACAGACAGAATTGGGTCTTGGCAGTAGCGATATACCTTACTACGAGGCACTACGATATTACGATAAGTGGACTGACAGAGATATCTTGAAGGAATATCTCTCCAGGTCCCTGTCCCCCTTCTAGGACGACTCTATCGCCTGTCTTTGGAGAAAGACTTATCATGACCCCAAACACAAGTCGCATATCATCCTCTCCGTGTTGGAGGTTTCTCCTCTGGGTCCTGACTCCCTGACTATCGCTACTGTTTATTGCTCACAGCAGACTCATCCATTGATATCTGCCATTGTCTCTCCACTACCGATTGATCGTCACAAACATCGACATACCATTGACTGGCTTGAGGCCCAAAGTTGAATCAAGCGAGGACCTTCCTGACTGACTGGACCTGACGGGACAACCCCCCGCGACAAGCAAGACCCGGCCTTGACTCGACTTGGCTTGTGCGTTTGTCCCCCGTCTTGTCATCTTCTCCGCTTCTTCTATTTTGTTTCCTTGAACCTTCTATCTTTACTACCGATTTGCGACTCTCCTGAATTACAAGGTCAGTGCTGGCTCTCTTGAAAGTCAAACAGCACTACGGACGTTATCAAGGGCCTGAAAGAATAAACCGCCCAACCAATTCTATCGCCAATCACCCACCGCATCATTAAACAAACAGCCTGGGCTTGACTGGGCTTATTTGACCGGGGCACCCAATCGACTCCATCTACGTTCCCCTCTTCACTCCCACCCTCGGCCACTTGGGTGCATTGCCTTGCATCGTCTATGCTCTGCTGGCAACTGACTGGACTGGGACTCGACTGGCAGCCCCGCGTAGTATTGGCCTAACCCAGCCCAGTCTCTGTATATCCAATTGCATAACTATACCCACGTCAACACCCACGCTCACACCCACGCCCACGTCTACATACAGCACGCACTGAGCCCAGCCCAGCCCAGCCAGCACCACTACCGCTACCGCTACCGCTACTGCTACCGCTACTACTGCATCTGCATTTGCTTTGCCTTGCAGTAGCCAACGGTTGCAATTTTTTTTTCTCCCTGTCGTCTTTTTGTCTTCCGTCTTTTCTTGTTCTCTTCCCTCTTCGTACCAAGGCAAGGCGACGCATTGTTGTTCTCTTGCCTGGTACCTCAACCTCAAACCAGACTAAACCGCCTCGCTCAACTACACCCTCACTTGATCTCACCTCAACTCACCTTGCTATTATATCTTCCTCGTTTTACTTCCGGATCGGCTTGCCTCCATCCGTTTGTTTACCCCACATCATAGCCAACCAAACTACATACTTGACTACACATCCAATACTTGTCGTCGATCGACAAGACCCTCATCGACCCAAGTTACTTGTCGTTGACGATCCTACTTGAGTCTTTGACTCGAGGCTTGTTAGACGACTTATCTGTCTGTCCATCAAAGGTTAACACCTGGATGCAATTGGGATTTCTATTGTCCCATACCATATATACGTTTCTTGTTAGACCTCAACTCTAAGGTTTACCGATCTATACACCACATCAGCCATGCCGCCAAAAAAGAGCCTTCGGCGGCGGCCCGCGACGCCAAACCTCAACGTCGCTCAACTTCGAGCCCAAGTACAAGAAGTCCAGAATCAACCTCTCACCGCCGACCCCAACTCGCCACCAGAAACCCCCACCACATCGCCGCCATTCCTACGCAAGACCAGTCTAAAACCACGGCGCCAACCTGACTTTCATGATTATTTTCAGTCCTTGGATTCGGATCCTAACATCAAGCCAACTGGCGATGGACACCAATTCAGCTATCAGCCTTCAGTTGGCCCTCATCAGTTAAGCCCTCGCTCGTCTTCCTCATCCGGCATGGCCGACGACACCAGTGATGAGGACAGCAGCAGTGAAGATGAGGATGAAGAAGGTTCGGCAAGTCCCAGCATACGGAGCATGGGGAATGCTACTGGCCCAGCCGTCTCCTCACCAATTGACGACTCTGCTATGGAGCTTGGCGACGATGACACCGATAGCTCTAGTGATTCAGACACTTCAGAATCTGACTCGGGCTCAGAATCCGACAGATCCGGCGCAACAGACGAAGCCGAGACGTCTCACATTACTGTTACTTCAACGGCTACGGCTACAGTTGCTTGTAATTTCACTGTCGAGGATATTGACCCTATGGATAGCGATTGCGACGGACTCGATGTTCTACAACCTACCGAGATTGAATCCAATCGCAGTCGCTCAAGGTCACGAAGCAGGAAAGCCCACAGGACTATGGTCAAAGATTTTAGGAATCTCACTTGCAGTAACGAAACATCAGATAACGAGCAAAGTCCCGAGGGCGAGGGCGAACTTGACGAGGAAGCGCAATTCTTGAAGCGCCGCGAGCAAATCAAGAAATTCCGACGTATGAGCATGGGTAGCAGCTTTGGCAAACGGACACACAGCGAGCTCAGCGACTCGGAGGATGAGGGCGAAGGGCTCGACGCAAACGAGGTCGGCTCCAGCGCACGCCGTATGCGGAGAAAGATGCATCGCACCAGCTTATTATTCCATGATCCGCCCCCTGCGCGGATCGAGGAGCTTGAGGAGCCAGACTCCAGTGAGGATGAACTTGTCGCGCACCAGCATCTCGCAAGGGAATTGCCCTATTGGGCCATCGAGATTATGGAGATGGGCTCAAGCTCCAGCTAGAGCGCTGAACCCTGCAAGCCACGCACCACATGAGCTGCGACAGCCATCATGCTACCCCGGCCCGCATAGGCATGAACATTAATGACATTACGAGGACGAGAGGGCGACCAGGGGTCACTCTGACGACGATAACGACTCACCTTTTCGCATCCCACGAGCATGACACCGCCTACACCGACCAGCCCCTGAGTCTACCAGGGTTCGGGCAACGGTCAACCATTGATTGTGTTCGCCTTACCTTAACCCCATGATCAGTTATGCGACGACAGGTACGGATACTGAAGGTTGAGGAGACCATTTGATCAGAGAAATGATATTGCATGTTTTGCATAGAATTTGCATCCAGGCCGAATACGGAATTGTCACATTGGATTTCACAGGGATACCTTTAGACTGTTACGATATGTCGAATTTGTTTATTGAAGATATAAAGATGGGCATGATATTTGAGCACAGAAGATCATCATATATATGCGGAGAAGACAAGGATGTAGGTCTGGCAGACAACATGAAAGCGTTTGGCATTTATCGTCATGATTGAAGCAATCTAGAAGAAATAAGACACAATGAGAGTTCTCATTTTTTTTATGTAGTGGCAATGAATCGTTGCATAAGTTCGATAACGAGCGGTGGCTTTTCAGCTCAAACTGCTAAGAGGGCATCGCTTGATGCCACTAACTCCAGCTTCTTTGGAACCAGAGCATTGGATCATCAGTCTTGTCCTTGCAGTTCTACCTTTCGACTATGTAAGTGAAATGCTTTATCTTCCCTCATCTACAGAGGCTATGAAGCTTTGACAAGCACTCTGGAAGATCAGGAGCTGCGTAGATCTGAGCTCTGGTTGCATTGGTTGACCGCAACTGTGTAATTTCTAAATGCACTGGGCATGCATTGTCTGTTCCTTTGGCTTCATGGAGATACTCCTAGTGTGTCAGTGTTGGTCGCAATCATGAATGCTATTCCCAGGCAGGTACTTGGAACGATATATAACAGACGAGATATATAGTATTATCTGGATGAATCAAAACCTATGGCCGGATAGTTCAGCGGTTCCTGCAACATAGCCAGTCTAATTGTTGTTTAGTTGATGATCAATACCTAGGAGCTGCCGTGTAAGTGATTGCAATGTGGGGTACTTATCGATAAGAGCTGCCCGAGTCCCTTGATTGTTTTGAAACTCCACCGTCGTCAACACAAGCTAAGTATCGTCTCTATCACCAACCCACAACTTTGAGGTCATTCCCCTCTTCCGCCATCTTGGCATATCAATATAGAACTTATATTAGGACGAGAATTGAACGACAACCACGCCCATCATGTCGCTCATCTCTGCGCATCTCGAACAGATTGGCTATTCGTGCCAGGGAATTGACTCTCTACCGTAGGCTACACACATCTCTTTCTGTTTCAGTCGCTAAATTGCCTCCAGGTTCCCTCCTCCGAAGATATTCACCAACGCCCTCCTTTCAAACCATGAAATCACATCTCTTATCCGCGATACGGAACCGCACGAACGCGCCCTCTTCTCCGTCCCACCACCACCTCCGCCCACAACAACTCTGAAACCCACAGAACCAGAGAAGAAAAAGTCCTCGGGTCGACGACAAACTGTCTTTAATGTAGCCTCGGGCGAAGTCACCACAGGACCTCCACCCCGCACCGGCACACATCCCCGACGACAAACGGCCGTAGCAGCTGTCTTGGGCGGTCAAATGCACGAAGAACTACGGCGCGGAGAATCAGATCGCAAAGGTGATGTCGACGTAAACGTTCTTTTGCGCGGCGCAGAAAAGCTCTGCGGTGTATACGAACTCCCCGGAGCGAGGGAGCGCATCGCTGCATTGAGGAGTAAACATGCACATGGGAAGAACACAGCGGCGTACTACGAAGCGCGCGTCGCGGAGCAGGCAGAGCAGTTGGCAAGTCTAGATCACAGAGATTGGTATGATGAAGAAGAAGAGGAAGAAGAGGAGGGTGAGGTTTGGACGGAGGATGACTTGAAAAGGGAGGAGGAGGAGGCGAAGGAGATGGAGGTTAAGAAGAGGGAGCTGCAGGTGAGGCTGAGGCAGATGGAGAAGGATCTTGGTGGTTTGATGAGAATGTGATGATACCCTTATGAGATACGAAAATCCTGAACCTGATAATCAACCGTCTATAACATACGGGAGAAATGCCTCCTAATTCTTAGCAAGCAGGCCTTCTCTCGCCATAACGAGCTTCTCAAGAATATCTCCAACTTCCTCCGCTCCATCAACGCTATACTTGTCATTGATGATATACCGTGGTACGCCCCTTATGCCCTTTTCTTGCATCTCACGAACCTCATTATCAACCTCCTCACCCCCATCATCACCATCTAACCACACTCGCGCTTCGTCCCTCTCAAGGCCCGCCTTAATCGCTGCGGTCACTAAATCCTCCTTACTAGTGATATCTCCGCCATCCAGAAAATACATCCTCATAACCTCCAGCGCAACCTCCGTCTCCTTGCCCCTAACGCGCCCCAGCTTCTCTAACCGATGCGCATCTCTGGTATTTCCAATCGTAGAGTTGAAGTTGAACTCCACACCCTCTTGTTTGGCGATACCGTTGAGACGGGCTTTGACTGAGGGGACTTGGTCCTCTCCCCATTTCGATGCTATCTTGGTGATGAGGGGTTGTGGGGGTGTATTGGGATCCAGCTGGTAAGCGTGCCATTTGGTAGTGATAGTGTCGGTTGAAGAGACGGTTTTGAGATAGAGAGCTATGGCGCGGGATAAACGGAGGGCGCCGATGAAACACCAGGGACAGACGGGATCTGATATGACGGTCACAGAGATCGAAGGCATCGTGGTAGCTTTTGTTTGTGACGATCTTTAGAGAATCTGGAATGAGATATTGAACTGGGTAGTGAAGATGTGATGGAAATATATAAGAGCAGTTTCAGCTGGGATCGGGTGTAAAATACACCCGAGACGGACGACCTTTGGTCAACTCCGATTTATAAATGCTTGTGCCCGACGCCATGTCTGAACTTTCAGGAGAGAGCGGGCATAGGCTCCTCAAGGGGGCGGAATTCCGCCCATCAAAGAGTTCTGCTTCGTAAGCTATGATTTCACCGCAAGCTTGTAGTGAGCCTCAGATTATTCCAACACATCTAGTAGCAATACAATTCGTTATTCATTCAGTGGAGAATGTTCTCCGGGTATAATATTCTATCTTGCCTTGTGCAGGCTCCAACACTTTATCATGCCTGACTAATCTCTATGCGGTCTTCCGTATGGTTCGTGTCTATACACTTCTCGGGCTCGCTGTTCTCGGCCCCGGGGACGATAAGAGTCTCCCTGTCTTCGTGGTGTGACCCAATTACGTGCGTTGACGTTCTTAGACCGACGTTGGGCTTGGCTTGAACTGCCAACCCCTCCAGATTCAGCTCTAGGGCTGCTTGGTGCAGATAGGTCGTATTGAACAGCCCTATCCCAGTCCGCAAGCTTTGTATATGGACTTCTAAGCCATGCTCTTAGCTCGTGCAAGAAGAGGCGCGTGCTGTCTCGGCCCAGAAAATCCGAAATCATCTCCTCGGCTTGGCCAGCGCTGCCCATGATATCCACGGATTTCAAAATGGCGATGATGTATTCGAGGAGGAACTCAGCATTGTTGGCTCTTCTTCTGGCAACTGCATCTCTCTGTGAATTCCCATCGGGTCTTGGTTCTATCTGGTCGGCATCGGGGTTTAAGAAGGAAAACACTTGCAGCTCTCGACGAATCCACATTCGTGCACGAGAGACTAAGTCGCTATCTGAGCAAAATGCTGCTGGTGTCAGTTCGCGGTATCGAGACAAGCGATTCGACCCGACATGTTTAGAGTATCTGTTGTGGCGATACACATCCCTCCGCTTCGCGATCTCATCTGAAGGATTCGAGCTGGCGGTTACATATCGTGGCTGACGCGGATATGGACGATGGTGCAAGTGACGCCGGCGGGAACGAGGAGGGAGCGCAAGTCTTGGGTGTCCAATTTGTGGTGCTCGGGGCTCTGACGCAGGCTCGGGCACAGTGTATGTGTTTGCGATAGGTCCATCGAGGCCGTGGCGAACTTGTGAGATGACAGCTTTGCAGAGCGGGCACTTCGGTGATTGCTCAAGCCAGCTGAGAAGGCAGAGATAATCAAAGTTTTTGTGTTGACAAGGAATAGCCTCACAGGCTTCAGAGATGCTTTCGAGGCAGATGACGCAACAGTCGGTAGCGTCTTCTTGCCTGGTCGCTATTTCGTCAAGGGTACTTTGCAAGACTTGGCGTTGGAGATCAGCTGGGTTTTGGTCTGTTTCCATAGCGGGATGGGGGATTAGAGACGCGATAGGGCTGGCCACCTGGCGCGCATGTGGTAGTGTATCCAAATCACCCAGGTAAGAAAGCGAAGATAAGATGCTATCGTTTGGTGTAGTAGTATGAAAAGAAGATGAGGCGCGATGAATTACTGGTAGGTGTGGAGCAGAAATGGAGGACTTGATTCAGGTGGGGTTCCGGAGCTATAGTACTGGTACGTATCATGGAAAGTTCGGAGCGGGTGGGCCCGTTAGGTAGGTAGGTAGCTCCCATATTCCGCACCTTCCCTGCAACTGTCATGACGTGAGACCCGTTTTCGCGTTGAGTGGTTCGCGTCCCGCATTGGCAGTTGCAAAGGGATCCATCTATAGACGCGTTTATCTCAATCGCGACACTCAATTCCACTTTCCCTCATGACCATTGTTGCTTGCATGTTTCTTCCAAATTTCGATTTTCACATAAACTCACATACGAACAAAATATTTCATGGCTATAGCTATGGACGAAAACTTGAGAGCAGCTTATGAAAGTCAATCACAGCAACTGCGCATCGACTTGAAGACCTGGGAGACAGAATGGGCAAAGACACACGAGGGCACGAAGCCAGGAAGAGGAGACATCAAGGCCAACGAAGACATCGGTAGGTCTTTAGAGCAAAAAAAATAACCAATCTGCTAACCATTGCACAGCTTTGAAATATAAACAATACAACAAGGTCCGAGATATACTCTCGGGCAAAATCCCACCTCCCTCGAAGGAACCAAGGAAGCGGAAATCCGATAGTCTACCAGCACAAACACCCACCAAACGTACCAAAAACACCCAGACTCCCTCCAAGAACCGTACACAAGACCATGATGAGGAACTCATGAACACACCAGCCATATCGCGAAAGCTGTTCAGTCCCGCGTCGGTGACCTCAGTGGGTCCAACACCACAAAGAGATGGTCGCGTGCTTGGCCTCTTTGACTTATTGGTAGAGAAGGAGCTAGGAACACCGTCGAAACAAGATTCTGCGACCAAACCAGGGTCCACACGAAAGGTCGATGCAACTCCGAGCAAGCGATCAGCTGCCATGGATGACGAGGAGAACGACAGGCTTGGCCGAACCCCTATGTCATCCAGTAAACGACAAAGACTGAACCACTTCATGACCCCGTTGAAGAACAAGGATGGAAACAAGGACGCCGTTACGCCCTTTTCGGTCTCGAAACTCCAATTCGACACACCCGCGTTCTTGAAACGCAATACTCTACCGGTTCTTGACGAGAATGGTGATTTTGATGCCCCAGCACCCCTGCGGCTACCGCGCAAGCCTTTCACACGAGGTCTCAGTGAAATTGTGGCGAGTCTTCGAAAGGTGGAAGAGGAGAACTTGGATGACGACTTGAACGCATTGCGCGACGCTGAAGAAGAAGGAATGGGCGAATCTAGACCCAAGACCTTATTCCCGTCGAAACCAAAGGATGATATTCTGGTTGAGGACACTCAGACACGGCAATTACCACTTGGTGGTTTCGATGATGAAGCCTTGTACGACAGCCCAGTGGAGGAAGATGGTAACCCGACTAGAGTGTATAAGAAGAAGGGTCAGAAGCGAACTACAAGAATGGTCAAGATGCGTCCAACTCGAACCAAGCGGCCGGAGAACATGGGAGAGAATCCTCAGAGCGATATTGAGAACGATGAAACGCAAGCTGGTGGTGAAGATGCTGGATCTGATTTCGAGGAAGTAAAGGAGAAGAAGCCCACACAGAAGAAGGAGGGCACTGTGAGGAAGGCCGCGCGAAAGGTCAATGAGCTGGCTCACGCAAACTTCCAACGGCTGAAGCTTAGGAACCACGGAGCAAAGGGTGGTCCTGGATTTAACAGTAGATTCCGACGACGAAGATGATGAATCGATTTGGTCATGGCCAAGAGGGTTATTATGAGATGCATTGCACGGCGTTCTGATTCGAGGCATACACAGTAGACTATACCAAGAGACAAAGAGAAGTCAATTGCTAGATGTCCAGTTCAGCGTAAATGAGCGTTCAAGCTAGAAAATAATTGAGAGTCTCTGAGATTCATTTTGATCATCTACTTTTTAAATCCCGTATCACATGCTGAAATTGCTCAGTTCTAGGTACATTTCTCTCTTTATAAGGAAGAGATGGAGTTCTTGCCAGAATGGAGGTTGCAGACGTGGGGCTGCGGACCGTTCAGGTTTAGTGCAATCTCACTCACAGCTGCCGACAGGAGCCACCTCAAGTCTTTTAACTAGAATTGGATTGACATTGATTCACTGAGTGGCCTTGAAGACCAAACAAAGAAACTCGATCACAATACAGACACACAATCATCACACTTCGGCTTCTTCTGCTCTCTCCCTTCATAAAACATACAGATACATGCTCCTCTCTACCTAAATTAACCCTCCCTTTGCATGCGACGAACGCTTCGAGCCTTTCGCGTCTTTATGATCACACTCACTTTTCTGGCAGCGTTGAAATTGAGGCTTTCCAACGATCCCTATTCGCGTCTTGATTTTCTTTATTTTGCTGTCTCATTTGTTCCTGTATACAAAGCCTGGCCTGTCTACATGGGATTCTCTTGGCATTGTCAGACCGGTTGTACTCATCAAAAGATGATACGGGAGGTGTAGACTGCTTGGTGTTGTCTTTCCATCGAGTTTTTCGCATACAAAGATCCATTATTTCCATTGCTTTTGAGCATGCAGTGGTATACGCCTTACACCTCAAAATGCCTGTAAGATTGTATCTCAAAACTAGAATGGCTCGGCTGCTGACGCTGACTAGCATATCGATCTTGACGATGATGTTGTCGATTTAACGCTAGATGAGTTTCAGAAAGAAGATAATGTTATCGACCCTACGCTAGAGAATTTCGAGAACCCGGACATCAATTGGCTCACAGATCACAATGGCGACTTCGACGGTGTGTTTGAAGACGCCTTTGCTGCGAGGGAGCCTCATGCGGCCACCACCACTACCAGTCATGATGCACCTAAAATGTGGACCAAGTTTGGTGAGATGGATGAAGCGGAGGAGGAGGAAGAGGAAGAGCGCATGGATCTCCTGCAGCAAGGCGACTTGTCCCCTAGCTCTCCCGCCCAGAGCCCTCCAGACTACGTCCCAAGCCCCGAACCCCTCCTCGCAGACACGTACCCGGAAATGCCTGAGCTTCCAGCGTCATGCGTCATTGAAGCTGTAGATCTTGATTTAGAACTTGGTGATGCAGGTGCAGGTGCTTCGGCTGAAATAGTAGAACAGGAAGACGTTGCATTGGAAGAGACGCTGGACGTCCCTGTCAGCGCGAATATGAGCGTTGAGTTCCCGGAGAGTCTGCTCCTGGTACCAAGGTCGTATTACGAACCATTCGAACCGGGTGTTCCAGTCCTTAAGGAACATGAGGCTGTTGCTCGACTGCTCGAGGAAGCTGAAGAGGCCGGTCAGGGTATTGACTATGACGACTTCGTTGAGTTCCAACTTGACGATTTTTCAGTCTACTCCGATCGTCAAAGATACGGCCAGGAGATGTGCTCTCTCCACCACCTCCACACAAAACATGGCTTCAATACTGTCTTCTTCGACGGAAAGCTGAGTGTCGGTAATACTGCTTTCTACGTTCACCGCGTGGAAATCAGCGCATTGCCGATCGAGAACTACGGTACATTATCAAAGCACACCGTCAAAGACAAAATCTGGGTACGGTCAGTGTTAAACACTGAACGCGAGATATACTACCGGTTGAATAGCCCTGCCAAGGAATATCGTCGTTTCTTTGACCCGTTCTTGTGGGTTGCAGATCTCGCAAAGCATTTCGTGGATTACCTCAAGTTCAAAGGGCAGGAAGACGACCAAGTTACGGTCTTCCATTTTAGATCAAACTTCAGCATTTGGCTGGCGAAAAGGCATCGCCATGCACCGGATTTCATCTCGTGGAAGGGGCAGCACGTAAACGATGATTTCAGGACGGCGATTGTGGCCAATATTGCATTTTTACACAAGGAAGCGATCGGTGTTCTTGGGCATAGAAAAACATACAAGCATGTTATCTGGGCCGAGGTTTGGGAGTTTACGCGATACAAACCGTGCCCAAAGATTGGGCCCAGCGAAGACACAGATACTGTCGTTACCCAATACATTTACGACTGTTTCAGTCACCAGCCATTCGGCGACCGTCTCAAGGCCATTCCTCTGAGTGAGACTACTCAGTCTTTGCAAAATGCACTGATAAAGCAACGCCATCTGGAATTACCAGCGCCAGTTCATGATAGTGGTAAGACCATAACAACGGCTGGAATTAAGCAAATTCGAGGGATTCGAGCAGGTGACACAATCTCGACCCAAAGAGATGCCGAGGGATCTGGCACACAATGGCGACGTGACGTTGCGCATGGGTTTGATGACGTCGATCGATGGTTCGCCTTGGTACAGCGCGTGCGTGTCAACAAGCGTGGCCAGAGAACGTTCGACGTGATTTGGTACTATCGACCCGTGGACACCCTATGCGGTCTGATGAAGTACCCTTGGAACAACGAGTTGTTTTTGTCCGACCATTGCTCTTGTGATACCAGAGCAAAGATCTCCGAGGACGAAGTGTCAGGGGTTCACCAAGTCGAGTTTGGGGGGACTTCGGCGACTGAAGCCGAATTCTTTTGTCGCCAGACATATATATGCCAAGAGCGAAATTGGGTCACCCTTGAGAAAGTCCATTTTCGTTGCATTCATCTACGCGAGAGCTCTCCTCAGGCGCTGGGGTTACAAACTGGCGAAACGCGACTCATCATGATCAACAGGACTAGCGGTCGGTCCGAGCCTTGCGAGTTTCTTACCTTCTATGAGGAGGAAGGCAACGGTATATACAGGTTTCGGAAGTTGTTAAGAAGACACCAGGTTGATCCGGCATCCAAAGCTCGACCCAATGAGTTGGTGTACAGCTATGTCGAGCCGCTTGTCGAGGTAAAAAGATCGCGCATTCTCGAGCCGTGTTTCGTGCGTCATTTTAAAGACGGGCAAGCAATACCAACGCCATATGACCGTGACGGTGTGGGAGGGTTTTTCTATTTCACACACGAACAAGTTTCCGACAATGAGACTGGAACGAAGTTATACGTCGCGCTATCCGAACCTCCCTCGTCTATACAGCAGGGCTACGACCCATCGCAGTCTATTACACGGCTGCGAGGTCTGGACCTCTTTTGCGGTGGTGGTAACTTTGGTCGTGGATTAGAAGATGGAGGTGCTATCGAGATGCGATGGGCGACCGATTTTGACGCCAAGGCTATTCATACTTACATGGCAAACACTGCTGGGCCCTCTGAAGTATCTCCATTCCTAGGGTCTATAGACGATCTCCAACGTCTTGCTATCGAGGGTGAGTTTTCAGACAATGTCCCACCGATTGGAGATGTGGATTTTATCTCAGGCGGTAGCCCTTGTCCAGGCTTCTCTCGGCTGACCAACGATAAAACAACTGCCGCTCAGCGGAAGAACCAGTCGTTGGTAGCAGCCTTTGCGTCGTGCGTTGACCTATACCGTCCACGATATGGTCTACTTGAGAACGTTCCGGGAATCGTGCAAAAGAAAGCTAATCGAGATCAAGACGTGTTCAGTCAACTCATTTGTGCCATTGTAGGCTTGGGTTATCAAGCACACTTTTTCTTTCTCGATGCTTCTGCCTGCGGTGCCCCTCAGCGTCGTTCTCGTGTGTTCCTGGCTTTTGCTGCACCAGGCCACCGCTTGCCTCACGCACCATATCAAACCCATGGTCACCCGCAAGATACCTCCAGGCTTAGTCTAGGTATTCTCCCTACTGGGGAACCTATGGCTGAGCGCGCTATGCCGGCTGCCACACCATTTGACTTTGTGTCTGCGAAGGCTTCCACTGCCGACCTGCCCCCTATTCATGATTCAAAGCCAGATATATGCGTACCGTACCCCGACCATCGGGTGTCTGTAGGCATCACGCCTCTAATGCGAAGTAGGATTCACCTCATCCCAACTCAGCCTTGGGGTATGAACTTCGCACAGGCCTGGTATGGTCGCAAGCTGAAAAAGGCTGGTTCAGGTGTAATGACGCCAAGCGAGCGCCTAGCATTTCCTGAGCGCACCGATAAGGGGTTGGGACGAGGAAACCCGAGCTCGAACGCATATGGCCGACAACGACCGGACCATCTCTTTGTCACAGTCGTCAAGACCCAAAGTCCGGACGATGCGAAGAACGGCCGCACGTTACACTGGCACGAGCCTCGCGTCTTGTCCATCATGGAGGCGCGACGAGCACAGGGGTTTAGGGACGAAGAAGTCCTGTTGGGTATCCCAAGTGACCAGTACAAAATCGTTGGCAACAGTGTTGCTCGTGAGGTCGCGGTGAGCTTGGGTGCTGTATTCTGCGAGGCATGGATTCAGAGCCTCGCAGACGAGCATCACTACTCCACTGCTGCAGTTCCTTCTGCGGTACCAGCTCGTATAGGTATCGAGGTTTACCCTATCATCAATATCAGGAGACTTGAGTCCGAGTCAGCCTCTATCGAAAACACCCCACAATCTTCAAAGCCCAGAAGCGGATCTCGAGTCAATCAAGTTTCGTCTACACCGAGCTCGACTCCTCCTGCTCCTCCTCAAACGTCTACTAAGCGTAGCCGCATCGCTGTCGAGATCCACGGATCGAAATTTCTCCGGACAGACGAGTACAACAGCCCTAGCAAAACCACGTCTGTAGCATCCAGCCGTTCCAAATCAAATAGGTTGCGGCACAGTAGCGCAGGTGAATAGTTTTGTATAGACTAATGTCGAGCTCAGAAGAATATGTATAGAAGTATGTCTGGTCATACGAATCTGTACTTCGAATTTAAAGGTGTGTGGGCATCACAAAACGGGGAGTCTTTCATATAGACCAGATACCTGTCACAGCTAGCTTTGTGGGCGTCAATAAGACGATAAGATGGACAGAATTGATAACAACATAACGGACCTAATCCATCATCTCTGCATTCTTGCCCATCGTGAATCCCATTCACTAACGCCTGAATAGAGATTAAGGAGAAGCCCTCCCTCATATCTCTACACTGGATTAATGATTAGCAACCACCCGGAAGCGAGAGAGTCAGTGACAGATGGTATACGAATAAATCGAAGCAAATGAAGAGTGATTCAAAAGTCATTACTGTCGTTGCGATAGCTCACTAGTTGCTAACGTGGATAAACTGTTGAGAGAAAACATGCTGCTCCAAAACTCCGATTCAACCTAATGCTGATATCGCCTTGCTCTTGGATGCACCCTTCTCGTACCAAAAATAGCCAGATTCGATGTAACACGCTGAAGAAAACATATCGCTATTTCAAAACCTCTTGCAGTATCGCGTCCCGTCCGTCTACTCTTCTACTCCGATGTCTCCAGATCCTTAAGGGTCATCACCTTAGCGCCCATAGGGATCTGACCACCTCGCATTCTAATGCTGGCGTAAGGGACACCAGATGCCTGTCCCAATATGGTCACCAACTCACGCCCTGAAACAATAAGGTCCTTGCCAGTATAACCCTTGATGGCACATTCCTTGAAGATATGTCCAATCAGTCGCTCACCAAGGGTCTCGATGCTGCGGCCACTGGCCCAGCCTTTGTCGTTGCTCAAACGTTGGAGCAGTGAGAACAAAGATGTGCGAGTGGTAGTATCCATCTCTGGTGTTGCTTGGATAGTAATGCCCACCTTTCCAACAACTTGTCGTAATTGCTCAATACACTGCTCCGATCGAAGGGTACGGAAAGTGAACTCGGTTGCGAACCGACTCTTGATACCCTGATTACTACGAAGAAGACGGTCCATATCCTCCTCGTAGCCTGCCAACACAATGATAAGCTTGCGTGCGAACTGAGGCTTTGTCACAGCATCAACAAGCTCGCTGACTGCTTCTTCGGCAAACGATCCACGAGCGCCATTGAGTCTGTAAGCCTCATCTATGAAGAGAACCTTGCCGAGTGCCGATTCGAGCAATCGGCGTGTCTTGGGGCCAGTTTGGCCACAATATTCACCGACAAGCTGTGATGCCGAGACATCAACGACGTCTGGTGCGGCAATCAGACCCATGTCATAGAATATCTGGCCGAGTTTTCTCGCAGTCGATGTCTTGCCAGTTCCGGGAGGACCCTTGAAGACATAGGTGAAGGGCACATAGGGCCGAGGGTCGACATTGCGCAGTCGCATACCTTGCACCATGTACTGGTACGATTCGAACTTGGAGATGATTTCCTCGAAGCCTACAAACTCGTCGAACAATGCCCGCGTGTTTGTCGCAGCTTGTGATAGTCGATCGTAGTTGGCATCAAAGTCCTGAGGTTCTAGAGGAAGTTGATCAAGATCCTCATTATGTAATCTCTGCTCTTTGGCAGTGCGACGGAAACGTGCTGAGATGGCCTTGAATAAAAGATTGTCCACCTCACCGCCATTGCCAAAGTTTGGCCGGACAGAAGCTCGCTTCAGTACCTCCATAGCGACCTCGCGGGCCTTGTCGGTAGCAACCAGCTTCTCCTTTGCCAACTTGAGGTCTAGCACCTTACCCAAGGTATCCTCACTGAAGTTGTCGAAGACAAACGCATTATTCAGCGGGAATCTTCGGGCCAGACCGGGGTTGGCATTTGCATACAACTCTTTCATTTGGTCAGGGTAGCCGCAGAGGATAACACATCGATCCTCTCCAGCAGTTCCAGTTACCTCTGCAACAATCGTGTCGATGATGCCACCTCTGAAATCACCATTCTTGGAACTACCAGCACTTCCATTGGTGCCCGGGTCAAGCATGTGGGCATCATCTATGATCAGAACATTGCCCTTTGCTTCCCGGAGAGCCTCTTGCGTGTTGTTCTCAGATCCTCCGATGTAGCGATCGAGAAGATCAGCTGGAGTCTTGGTGACGACATCGCCCTTGGACAAGAGCCCGAAATCTGCTAGAATCCTACCATAGAGCTTTGCAACTGTGGTTTTGCCGGTACCTGGAGGTCCCAAGAAGACTCGGTTTGGTGAAACGTGCAAGGGATCGTCGCCGCGCATTTCTCGGATATAGTTCTGATTGACTTGGTTGACCACCGCAAGTATCGCCTCCTTAACATCGTCCAACCCGACGAGTTGTTGAAGCTCTTTCCAAGCAGGACTCTTCTCGGGCCCAAGAGAAGGCTTGTTACCCAGTAGGTCTTCTTTGGTCATTTTGAAGTCTTCCGGGTAGTTCCCTGTCTTACGAGCTTGAATAAAGCGCCCAACTTGACGCCTGCAAGCTTCGACAAATGCCTTTTTGACTGGCCAGATGTTACCAAATGTCTTGTCACTGGCCCCTGAAACGATTCTGCGGATCAGAATCTTGACATGCAGGCCATCGTAGCCGTCCTCAACTTCCATTCTGCCCTTGAACCACTTTCGCATGAGGCCATGGAATATTATTTGTAGCTCTTCTGCTGTGTAATTTGGCAACTTCAGAACAGGAAAGTGACTGGACACCTCAGCACTGTAACCCATCAAGTCTGACAATCCCCATTCGCCATTACCGGCTACAATTAGAACAATTTTTCCGGGCAGGTCTTGTGAGCGAACGTAGAGGCTCCAGAGATTACAATCGTCACTGTTCATTAAATGAGCGTGGTCAATGATGGCAATCTAACGAAAATTAGCGATCCCTAGCCTTGGTGATAGGGCATTCACTTACGCAGCCACCACAGGCATTGCTTGTGTTGTGTATGGTGCCCAAAGTCGATGTTTTAGACATGTTGTATGCCGAAAATCTGTTGATTCCAGTGAAAACACCAGACTTCTTGACCACGCCAAGAGATATCAGGTATTTGGCATACAGGCGAGCCAGCATTGTCTTGCCTGTTCCCTCACCTCCCGTGAAGACTACATCAAAGTTCTCTTTCTTCAGGTCGGTCTCCCGCCTCTGAGCGGCCTTGACTTTCGCCTTTGCTTGTAAGAAGAAAGCCTTGACTTCTTCGAGGCCAGTTAAAGACATGACTCGGTCGAGGTACTTGTTCTCTGCCTTTTCCACCTTCTTTTGTCGCAACCACTCGATTCTTGATGGGGATTCATCTTGGCAAGCTTCGGGTTCTAGACCGTCAATCGATTCGTTGTCCGAGTCGTCGGTATCATCTTGCTGTGATTTTCTGTGGCGAATTAGTCGACATTTCCAAGCATTCGAGGAGCGACTTACTCAATTTCATCCAGAAGATCTTCCATCATCTTGCAAAGTTCCAGGAACGCTGGCTCAGCCAAGACAGGTGGCTCCTCTTCCACCACAGGTGCGTCCTCAGCTTCAGACTCGGAATCATCATCAGTCTCGTATGGAATATCACCGTATAATTTCCCTAGACCGAAGCCGTCCGTGTTTTGGTCGTCTGCATCTTGGTCATCCTCCTTGAGAGGCTCCTCAGGTACAACTACAGTCTTGGAACGATTGCGCCGCCTTCTCAAGCGCCGGCGGGGTTTGCGAGTTGGAAGCAGGCCGAGAAGACGGCTCACAAGGAAATGTGGTTCATCGGTCAGGAAGTCTCTTGCCCATGAAGGATACGTGGATTTTGGCTTGAGACCAAGTAGCCATGTGACGGAAAAGTTGATATCTGTAGATTCAAGCTCCATCATTGCATTGCACTGAAATGAAGTGAGGTGAACTGGATTGCACTGGAGCTGGTTGGTTTGCTCTAAGATAAAGCTACAACTCCCAAATATGGGTTTCTCAACAGCTAGCGAGCTAGCAAGCAAGCAAAGATAAGTGGTGAACACGCAGGGACCGGGCGGTAGGTAGCTCTGCGGATGTGCGGATGGGACAGCCGGAGCGGGGGTGGGGAGGGAGACGGAGAGAGAGATCGCGTGCGAGCGAGGAGATGATATTGATAAAGACCTACGAAAGGCACGGGAGAGAGGAGAAGCGGCCTAGAAGATACACTGAACTTGAGAGGCAATCAAGCAACTATCGAGGAGACGCCGTAAAGATAAGAAAAGAAGGAGGGGAGAAAATCTGGAAATGTTTGAGAACGGAAGAAGAGAAGTTCAAAATTAAGGCTGAGGCGGTAGCTGCCTGCTTAGTTGTTTGATGTAGACTGCAGGCAGCCAATGGAATCGATGTGCAAGGTGAGGTGAGTACGACATGGAGTAAGACGGGGGCTGACCTTGTGTGCCATTGAGGTACCTACAGCCTGCACAGTACCTTGGCGGGCACATAGGTACCTAGCGAATAGAAGCATCCATACCTAGGTACCAGACATTTCATGATACGATACCTTAGTAGCTACTAAATAAAAGATGATGACTTGAGCTGTACAGTACGCAAGATAACTCTATGGACCCACCGGGTTCCAGAAGTTCACAATGCTACAGTCACCTCAAGCTCAATGATATTCATGGTATACATCTTGAAAAGACAATGGAGCTATGCAATCCTGTGTTACTTTCAACCAGAGCTTGACACATCAAGAAAAAAAGAGTCATCCGGACAGTCAAACTGGAGCTACTTTATTTACCCAGGCTAGGCTCCCAGCTCCCTAGGCGATTTAACGGAGCTCCAGATATCACCATGTCTCCCGCCTAGGCCCCTGTAAGACGGCGGCTGCCTCATGCAGTGCCACGAGACAACAACACATTGGATAATAAACCTAGGGGACAGACTTCAATTGGCTGTAACATGTTGTTTGCAAGAGATGACTTGCCATTGACGGCGGTTGATGTTGAACAGGGGAGGGGACCTTGATTGTGTGGCTCTGGGCTTGTTTTTCGGGGTCCATACCAGGTAAGCATAAGGTAGCTGTCAACATTCGCTGATCTTTAAATGCACGTCTCCTGTAAGGTCTAATCTTGTTGACTCTCTGAAACATAGTCTTCACGCACTCTCGCTCAAACATCAGCAGACCGAACCCCCATAATACTCCTCATATTGATCTACATTAAACACTTCGCTTAAACCCGTCCATTGATGATGCTCCAACCGCCGTCTTCCAGGCATTGTCGTGTTATCAACCTCAACAAGGCTGAATCCAAACACGACTCTTGCACCAATCAACCCCCTCAACGGGCCAGCACAGACCCGCCGCTGCCGAGCTGCATCCCGTGGGGGGCTAGCAGAGGCAGGAAAACTTAGGACTTCTATCCTAAGTGTTCCTCTTTGAGGGGACATAAAGTGTTTTTTATTGTATTTTAAGTTATATTTTATCTACATTTATAACCACTATTATTAATATAAGCTTTTAAGGGGCTTCCTTTAGGCTATATTATTAAACCTCTTTCTCCTTTATAGAATTATATTTATCTTAATAGTCTTTATATTATATAAAATACTTTATATCTATACTTTATTATTATTAATTATCTTTTTTAAGAAGTTAACCTTTTAGCTAAAAAGTTATTTTTATTTTATATATAAGGTTAAAATCTTTATTTATTTTATTTAGTAATTAATAAATTAAAATACCTAAAAAGATAGATTTATTAAAAAAAGCCTATAATTAAAAATTATTAATTTAATTTAATTAAGCTTATTAAAGTATATAAATAAATAAAAAAGATAATTATTTTATTTTTAAAGCCTTAAAAAGAGATTTTAATTTATATTTTATTAAAGCTTTTTATAATTTTCTATAAATAGCTTTTTTATATTAAAGTATTAAATATTTTTATATATATAATAAAAATAATAATTCTTTTTTTTAATAAAAAGGTAATTTTTTTTTAATTAATATTATTTTGATATTTTAATATTTAATATTATAAACTGGCTTTTTAGCTATAATTAAAAGGATATTAATATAGATATTATTAAACTTAAAGAAAGAAAAGAGATTCCTTAAGGAAATCTCTTTATATACTATTAAGTTTTAGCTTAAGTTTAAATTAGACCCTTAAGTTATATAATCCTATAAAGGCTTAAGTAAAGCCTAAGCTTATAATATATATCTCTTTATTTATCTTTTTTACTTTTTATAAAAAGATTATCTCTTTCCTTTTATTTATATATTAAAAATAGTTTTATAGTATTAAAAGCTTTAATTTAAAGCCTTATTAATTCTAGTCTATAATATACAAAGGCTTTAATTTTAAGTTCTATTTAATTTAATTCTTAAATATAAAAAGTTTAATTTAAAACTATATAAATTTCTAGTTATAAAATATTTAAATTCTAGCCTAAAGCCTATTATAACTTTAATTATAGGTTTTTAGAGTTTTAAATTAAATATATATAGAGTTATTATTTTATTTACTTAAGCCCTTTATATTTATTAACTTAAGCCCTTTATAATTTATATATATTTTTAGGCTAATATTTATTATACCTTTTTTATTTTAACTTACTTTATATAATTTAATCTTTCTTTTTTTTTTCTTTTTAAATTACTATATTATAAGTTTTATAAGTTAATATTATTTATACTCTTTTTTTCTTTTTTATTTATTAATTTTCTCTTTAATAAGCCTATTTTCTTATTATTTATATTCTTTTTTTTTTATATTTATTTTTATATTTTTATTTATATATATTTAGTCTTTATTTAGCTTAAATATAATTTAATTTTTATATTTCTATTAATAACTTTTTTAATTTTTTATTTTTATAATTTCTATTTTTCTTTATTTTTTTATTTAATATATTTATTATTACTATTATTAAAAGTAATAATAATAATAATAATTCTCTATAAGGATAATAGTAAAGATAAAGACTTTACTTTACTTATTACTTTTTTTTTCCTTTATAAAAAATGCCTTAATTACTTAATAAATTATAGCTATTTCTTAAAGTATATTCTTAATAATACTTCTTTATATAAATGCTATATTTAAGTAAAGTTTTATTATAATTAATTATATAACCTCTTTACTATTAGCCTAAATTTATATTATTTTTATTATAATATTATAGCTTTTATAAAAAAATATTAATATATTATTAAAAGGTATAAAACCTTTAAGAAATATATAAATATTTAAGTTAACTTTAAAAAGAAAAAAAAAGCTATTAAGCTTTAATTTTAAAGTCCTTTTATTACTTAATAATAATAACTTTATAACTTTTTAAATATTAATTAAAATTACTAAACTTTTAGCTATATTGTCTATGTATATAATAATCCCTTTTATTTTTTTACTTTTAGTTTTAATTTATATATTATAATATACTTAATATTTAATAATAGCCTTTTGCCTTTTATTTTCTTAATACTGCTAGGTATTAAGCTAATTTTAATTTAATTACTATTAAGATATAAATATTAGCCTTTACTTTTATTAAAATATAAAAAGACTTTTATATTAATTATAAGGCTATTATTACTTAAAATATTAATTTTATATAGGCCTTTAATGCTTTTAAATAGGCTATTAGCTATTTACTTACCTTTATTATTTCTTCTTACTATTAATGTATTAATAGTTTAAAAAGCACTTTAAAGAGATATAAAAATAAGCCTTTACTTTTTATTTTTTTATTTTTTTTTCTTTAACCTTTTTATTTTTAAGATACTTTTTAAAGCTTATTAAAAGCTCTTTCTCTTTAAATAAAAGTAATAACTTTAATAAAAGTAATAAAAAAGGTAATAAAAAAAGAGATAATAATAAAAATAGTATTTAATAGTATTATATCTTTAATTTCTATATATTTTAAGTAAATAAAAGCTAAATTTAATTTAAATTTAATTAAGGTTTTTAAAATATATAATCTTTTTTATTATTATTATTATATCTTTTATAGGCTATTATAAACTATTATATTATTTTATTTCTTTTTATATTTTATTAATACTATAATATTTTTTATATTTTTTAATAATTTTTAAATAAAAGTTATTTAWCTTTTTTATTTAATAAATATATTTTTATTTTTACTTATTTCTTTTATATTTCTAGCTATTAATATCTTTTTTACTTTATATTACTTTATTAATTTTTTACTTTTTTCTTATAGCATTAAAGTTAATTTAAGTTTTAATTTCTATAATATTTAAAATAGTAATAAGTCTATTACTGCCTATTTAATAAGGTCTATATAGAAAATATTATATATCCTTTAAGAGATATTAAATCTAATAGTTAGAGGTAATAATATAGCCTTTACTTTATATTTAACTGTTATTTAATTAAGTTTTTTATATAATTAATTTATTTTAAAGTTTTAGAGATTTAGTTATATTATATTTTTAACTTAAAAGCATTTTACTAATTATTAATCTCTATTATATACTTTTTAGTATTACTATTATATAAATATATAAACTATTTAAATTACCTTAAGCCTATCTTTTAATTAGGCTATAAACTGCATTACTTTTCCTTTATTAAAGGTCTTACTTTTTAAGAAGTTAATAAGTTACTTAATAATTTCTAGCTTATAGCTATAAAGTAAGTAATTTAAATTAAACTTTATTATTAATAATACTTTATTATTTAAAGATATTTATATTATAGTAAAATATAAAGTTTAATTAAATTAATAAAAGGCTATTAAAAGTTATAAAATTAACTATATTTTTTAATTTATATATTTAATATTTTTATTTATTTAGAGGTAATATACTATAAAAGGTTATTACCTTATTCTTATTAAGCTATAAAGTATTTTTTAAAACTTACTTAATTAATTTAAATTTTAATTA